GAGAAACACGACCACCAATGATGATTCAAAGCCACATCCCCTTATGGAGGAAGCACTGGCTAAGCAGTAGGTTGGAAGGAGTGGCCAATTGGAAGGACCAGCCCATATGGAAATAAAATTTATTTGAAATATACTTTAAAAATATTCTTCCCAAATATATTGACATATATTGGAAATGCTACCATTTTGGCCATATTCAATATATTTAAAAAATAAATAAATATATATATATACACACACACATACTGCATGCTGAAATGTGTTTTTATTACAAAATATATGAAACATATTTTTAAAAATGCATTTCAAATATACTGTATGTCTTTAAAAATACAAATCTACATTTTTGGAATGCATTTACAAATACATGTAAAAACATATGTTAAAATGACTTATTTATATGTAAAATAAAAATCTGAAGAATATATTTTAAAAATATATATTTTTCAAAATATTTGTCATATATTTTGTAATATATAAAAAACGCATTTCAACATGCAGTATATATATATATATATATATATTTATTGTTTGTTTTTTGGGGGTTTGCTTTTGTTTTTGTTTTTGTGTTTTAGAATCAGGGCAATAGACAGAAAGTTCTTGCTGGTCAACCAGAAACATTTTTTCCAGAAAATATTTTTCCCAAATATATTGACATATATTTGAAATGCTACAATTTTGGCCATATTCAATATATTTCAAAATATATTTCAATAAATATATATACACATATATATTATACTGCATGTTGAAATGTGTTTTTATTACAAAATATATGAAACATATTTTTAAAAATGCATTTCAAATATACTGCATGTCTTTAAAAATACAAATCTACATTTCTGGAATGCATTTACAAATTGACATATATTGGAAATACTAAACTTTTGGCCATATTCTATATATTAAAAAAAAAAAAAATATATATATATATATATATATATATATATATATATATATATTAATGTTATATATATATATATATATATATATATATATATATTTTTTTTTTTTTAAATATATAGAATATGGCCAAAATTGTAGTATTTCCAATATATGTCAATATATTTGGGAAAAATATTTTCTGGAAAAAATGTTTCTGGTTGACCAGCAAGAAGTTTATGTCTATTGCCCTGTTTCTAAAACAAAAACAAAAGCAAACCCCCAAAAAACAAACAAAAAAGAAAAATGGGCAGACTCGATGGGCCATCACTCTTCTATGCTCCTCTCTCAGAAGAAGAGAGTTTGTGAAAAATTCACTAAGCCCGGGTTCCTGTGCAAATCACATGCGAATTCTGCGCGATTTGAGGCATACATACTGCATCTGCAGCAGAAAGGTGCAGGACCCTTTGTTTGATCTGCACTAGAATCGGATCGCATGGGTATTCACACCTATGCGATCCGATTCTGTACATTGCACCACGTTTGGCAGACCAATTTTGGGGTGTTGTGAACATACACACCCACAGCAGTTCGCATAATCGGGGTGTGATTGCGATGCGGTGCGGAATGCGCACAGAAACCGCTGAGAATTCCATACTGCATCAGTGTGAACCCGGGTTCAGGCTAGGTTCACACCTATGCAGTTTGCATTTGATCCATTTCTGCAGTGCATTTTGCGTTGTGCTATGTTTTTGATGCGTTTTGTGGTTTTTTTTCTTGTTGCTAGACATATTTAAAATGCAATACACATCAAAAATGTGGCAAAAATGCATAAAACATGCAGCCAAAATGCACTACATGCTTTTCTGCAGCGTTGCCATTGAAGTCTATAGAAACAAAAATGCAAAAATGTCCTTGACCCTGTGAACGCGTCCCGTAGGAAATCGTGTTAAATGGACTGCTGTGCGTTTCTGCAAAACGCTGCTGAAACCGCATAGGTGTGAACCCGGGGTGACTGCTCCAAGAATATCCATGCAAAGGATGCAGTACAAAGCGGCAGCTTGGTCTTGTGCAGTTCCTTTTTTGAACACAAGGTGGCATGATTGGTCAGAAACGTGTTGACTAATGCTGACTGCAGAAATGAGAAGAAATGGAACGCATAAAAGTCGCATGACTGCATTGAAGAATGGACCGCAGCTGCTGAATTCCAATGCTCACCTCACTTGTTTTCATGCATCTTGCCCTCCAGAAGTTTCCCCCCCCCCCCCCCCCCCCCCCCACAAATCCTGACCAGGCCATTTTTTGCATTATGGTGCTGCGTTAATTTAACTGACAATTGCGCGGTCATGCGACGCTGCACCCAAATGAAATTTACCTCCTTTCCCCCCCCACAAATAGAGCTTTCTTTCAGTGGTATGTGATCGCCTGTGCGTTTTTAATTTTTTGCTCTAAAAACAAAAAAAGGACGACAATTGTGAGGGAAAACATTATTTTTGACTTTTTGCTATTAAAAAAAAAAAAAAAAAAAATCAAATTTCATCATAAATTTAGGCCAAAATGTATTCTGCGACATGTCTTTGCTAGAAAAAAAAAAACAGTATGTGTAAATTAATTGGTTTACGTGAAAGTTATAGCGCTTACAAATGGCAGACCAACAATTGTGAGAGAAAACAATACTTTTGACTTTTTCAATTAAAAAAAAAATGTAAAAAAATCAAATTTCTTCATAAATTTAGGCCGAAATGCATTCTGCTCCATGTCTTTGCTGAAAAAAATCCCAATACGTGTAAATGAATTGGTTTGTGTGAAAGTTATAGCGTTTACAAATGGTGGTATAGATACTGTATTTTTTATTTTATTTTTTTTTATACTAGTAATGGCGGCGATCAGCGACTTATAGCGGGACTGCGGAGGGCATTCTGACGCTGGGGGGGAACTGACTTGGAGTCACTGACATCCCCAGTGACACCAATACAGTGATCAGTGCTACTAAAAAGCACTGACACTGTACTAATGGCACTGGGCAAGGAAAAGGTTAACATGAGGGGTGATCAAAGGGTTAACTGTGTGTGTTTTTCTAGGGAGGCATGCTGTGCAGAGAAATACAAAGCAGCATGTCCTCGCAGGCAGGAGAGAGATCGGTGCTGTTTACGCAGAAGTCTCTCTGCTGCCAGCTTTACCCAACGATTGCCGAATGCTGGCCAGGACCTGGCGATTGACATCCCCAGCAGCCAATAGCGACGCAGGTATGGCGCCCCCTACCTGGAAATGCAAATCACACACACATACATATATATATATATATATATATATATCGCATAGGTTTCAACAGGCCCCAGATATAATGGACCCCATTCCTATTGTCGCACCGCCTGAAGCACGACAAATCTTGTGAACAGGGACTGCACCTGCTGTTATGAAGAATGGACATTTTTTTGGGGGTTTTCTATGCTGATGACGACCTGACTGCGAGTGATGACTGAGAAGTAACATTGGAGTTGCATGTTTCTATGGAGGCACCTAACTGGTATACTCTGCTTCCTAAAATGGTTGTAACCCCTTCCATATCCCCAGTGAGGTGATACACAGAGATGAAACAAATCATCCTATATAAGTTGTACCTGTTTATCTGCAGTTTCTCTGCAGGAAAAAAAAAAAAGCTCCACTCCCAACGCTGGCTCCCGGCCGTCTGCTTGCTCTACTGGCTTTACAATTCTTAAATATGTAAGGGGCGGGGCAACACAGTGACATCATGGTGTGACCCTACCTCCTTGTGACATCATTGACCCAGCATGCTCCGGTTGATGATGCTACAGGGAGGTGCGGTCACACGTGATGTCACTGGGTGGCCCTGCCCCTTACATATTTAAGAACTGTCAAGCTAGTGGAGCAGTCAGACGGCCGGGAGCCAGCGTCGGGAGCGGAGCCTTTTTTTTTTTTCCTTTTTTCTGGATAGCGGCGGCGGACATTGTGATTGACGCTGGATCTACTTCGGGGGACATTCTTTTATTTTTCTTCTTTTAATAAAAGACTTGTCAGAGACTGCCTCCTGTCTTTTTTCACACTACACTTTTTTTTTTTTGTGAATGGGTAGCAGTACCATGTACCCCATACTCATTCACATGGGGAGGGGGCCGGGATATGGGGGCCCCCTTGTTAAAGGGGGCTTCTAGATTCCGATAAGCCCCCCTGCCCGCAGACCCCCACAACCAGAGGCCAGGGTGGTAGGGAAGAGGCCCTTATCCCCATCAACATGGGGACAAGGTGCTTTGGGGGGAGGATGCCCCATTTCTTTGTGAGGGGCGAACATTCAACATCAGCAGGGGATCAAATACGCATTTCCTTCACTGTATTACAAAGTAGTAGTTCTTCCACTTTTGCATTGTTTGAAACAACGCAGTGCAGGTTGGAGTCCCCCTTTAAACCATTTCTGCCGTCGGCTCTGATTGCCTCTCCTCTTGAGACCACCAAAAACGGCGTCGGGATAAAGCAGTTTTCATAAAAAACACAATCTGCAAACATTTGTCATCCCGGACTCTCCTCTGCCCGAGCAGCATCTGCCGTCATAAGATCCGCCGAGCTGGAAGCAGACTCCGGCGCCGTCAACAGACAGCGGCTAACGACGGCTCCAGCTGTTTAGCGCCGCGGATGATTTGGGGGGGGTACCGCCATCGCCATCGCCTTGGAGACGGGCAGGAATCACCAGACGCAGCACATTCGTCGCCCTCAGGAAAGTCCGCACGCTGTTTGTAAATGCGACCATCTGTTTTTTTGTCATTTACGAGCCTGCGCCTCCCGCTCCCTCCGCGCGGCGGAACAGATGCCGGCTCATTTCCCTTTTTTCTGCTTTAAACCTGAATTTAGCATTTTTACACTTAACCCCGTCCATGCCGGGGAGGAGGGAAAAGCAAAAAACAACTCGGTTTATTGGAAAGATTAAAAACCATAAATCATCTTCCGGCACGAAAACTCAACCGCTGCCTTGGGACTCTCCGATTTAATGAAGTTTTTGTTTCTGCGATGAGACAGCTGGTAGAAAAAGAAAGAAACATTGTATATCAATTGTCCTATCAGAAATGTTTTTGGATCTTTTCCTCTTAACCCTTCGCCCTCCTGAGGAATCCCTCCCCCCCTCCTTCCTGACCATTTTTTGCGATACGGCGCTGCGTTACTTTAACCCACTTCCAGTCCGGACACTTTTCCCCCCTTCCAGTCCGGACACTTTCACCCCCTTCCAGTCCGGACACTTTCCCCCCTTCCAGTCCGGACACTTTCCCCCCTTCCAGTCCGGACACTTTCACCCCCTTCCAGTCCGGACACTTTCACCCCCTTCCAGTCCGGACACTTTCACCCCCTTCCAGTCCGGACACTTTCCCCCCCCTTCCAGTCCGGACACTTTCACCCCCTTCCAGTCCGGACACTTTCACGCCCTTCCAGTCCGGACACTTTCCCCCCCTTCCTGTCCGGACACTTTCCCCCCCTTCCAGTCCGGACACTTTTTCCCCCCTTCCAGTCCGGACACTTTCCCCCCCTTCCAGTCCGGACACTTTCACCCCCTTCCAGTCCCGGACACTTTCACCCCCTTCCAGTCCGGACACTTTCCCCCCTTCCAGTCCGGACACTTTCCCCCCCCTTCCAGTCTGGACACTTTCCCCCCCCTTCCAGTCCGGACACTTTCCCCCCCCTTCCAGTCCGGACACTTTCCCCCCCTTCCAGTCTGGACACTTTCCCCCCTTCCAGTCCGGACACTTCCTCCCCTTCCAGTCCGGACACTTTCACCCCCTTCCAGTCCGGACACTTTCCACCCCCCTTCCAGTCCGGACACTTTCCCCCCCTTCCAGTCCGGACACTTTCACCCCCCTTCCAGTCCGGACACTTTCACCCCCTTCCAGTCCCCGGACACTTTGCCTCCCTTCCAGTCCAGACTCTTTCCCCCCCTTCCCTGTCCGGACACTTTCCCCCCTTCCAGTCCGGACACTTTGACCCCCTTCCAGTCCGGACACTTTCTCCCCTTCCAGTGCGGACACTTTCCACCCCCTTCCCCCCCTTCCAGTCCGGACACTTTCCCCCCCTTCCAGTCCGGACACTTTCCCCCCCTTCCAGTCCGGACACTTTCACCCCCTTCCAGTCCGGACACTTTCCACCCCCTTCCAGTCCGGACACTTCCCCCCTTCCAGTCCGGACACTTTCCCCCCCTTCCAGTCCGGACACTTTCACCCCCCTTCCTGTCCGGACACTTTCCCCCCCTTCCAGTCCGGACACTTTCCCCCCCTTCCAGTCCGGACACTTTCACCCCCTTCCAGTCCGGACACTTTCACCCCCTTCCAGTCCGGACACTTTCCCCCCCCCCCCCTTCCAGTCCGGACACTTTCCCCCCCTTCCTGTCCAGGCCAATTTTCAGCTTTCAGCGCTGTCACACTTTGAATGCCAATTGCGCGGTCATGCAACACTGTACCCATATGAATTTTTAGCATTTTTTGAGACAGATAAAACTTTATTTTGGTGGTATTTATTCACCACTGGGATTTTTATTTTTTTGCTATATAAATGGAAAAGTCCAAAAATTTTTGAAAGAAAAAGTGTTTTTCTTATAAAATTTTGCAAATAAATAATATTTCTTCATAAATCTTGGCCAAAATGTATTCAGTTTATCTTTTTTTTAGTAAAAAAAAAAATAACTTAAATTAGTTTATAACCAAAAAATTATAATTTTTCAGATTTTTTTGACATTTTTATTTTATTTTTTTTATATTATTATTATTTTTTTTTTTATTGTAACATACTGTCACCCTAGCCATTGTGCTACTGTACTACTTGTGGGGGGTGATGATAGTTTTTTTTTTTTTTTTTTTTTTTTTTACACTGATTGCTTTTATACCCTTAAAGGCTGGAAAATCAATCATTTCTCCTTCTCTCTGGCTGCATTCTTGCAGCCATTGAGAAATACTGTGTGAGCTGTGATTGATCACAGCTTGTCACATGGTACAAGGCTGTTGTGAATGGCCCTGTACCATGTGATCTCTGTGATCATTCACAGATTTCATACATAGTAAGCAATGATGTCAGAAGTGACATCTTGCTTACCATTATTCATGTGATCACTGATTGGCCAATCAGTGATCACATGATTGGGACCTCAAACAGAGGTCCCGTACAGCAACCGAGGACACAGCAGGCACCGGATCGCGGTACCAGTAACCGCACACTCCCATGGAGAGCGGCACATGTGGGGAGCGGTGAGGACGTTTATAAACAGCCACTCGCTCCTGCAGTGCTCCCATCCTGCAGTTTATGTACATGGCCTGGACAGGAAGTGGTTAACTGACAATTGCGCCGTCATGCAATGTTGAAAAATAAAGACACATTGTATATCAATTGTCCTATCAGAAATGTTTTTGGATCTTTTCCTCTTAACCAGTTGCCCTCCTGAGGATTTCCCCAAAAAATCGCAGCAAAACGAGCAAACCAAACTCAGCGCAATTTTGTTGCAACTGTTGTGCGACAAAACGCATGAAAATCACGGCAAAACACACCACGCCAAATGTGCCTGGTTCAGCGCCAAAATTTTCTGCATGAGCTCAGTGCCAGGACAAGGTCATCCAGCGCCCAGGGCAAAGATGCCAAACTGCTCCCCCCACCCCCTAAGTTCATAACCCCTCACCCTCCCCTCACCCTCCAGAGGATTTCCCCCCTTCCTGACCAGGCCATTTTTTGCAATACGGCGCTGCGTTACTTTGACAATTGCACGGTCATGCACTGCTGCACCCAAATGAAATTTACTTCCTTTCTTTCCCACAAATGGAGCTTTCTTTCGGGGGCATTTGATCATCTCTGCATTTTTTGCGCTATTAAAAAAAAAGACTGAAAATTTGGAGAAAAAAAACAATATTTTTGACTTTTTGCTAGTAACCCCTTGCCCTCCAGAGCAGTGGTTCTCAACCTTCCTAATGCCGTGACCCTTTAATACAGTTCCTCATGTTGTGGTGACCCCCAACCATAAAATTATTTACCCAGTAATTATAATTCATGAAGTGTCGTTTTACCTCCAATACTGCTGCTTTCAACACAGTAGCTGCTTTTAACAGAGTAGCTGCTTTCAACACAGTAGCTGCTTTCAACACAGTAGCTGCTTTCAACACAGCAGCTGCTTTCTACACAGTAGCTGCTTTTTACACATCGGAAATATGTTTTCTGATGGTCTTAGGGGACCCCTGTGAAAGGGTCATTCGACCCCCAAAGGGGTCGCGACCCACAGGTTGAGAACCACTGCTCCAGAGGATTTACCCCCCTTCCTGACCAGACCATTTTTTGCGATACAGCGCTTTAATTTCGCCACGTATTCTCATATCTTACATATCACACTCATTTTCATGTGACCTATTTGCTGTTCCGTATTTCCATTTTTGTATGATATTTTACAGATTTGATGGCCCCCCCACTAGTGACCATCTGTATATACCAGTCAGTCTCAGTAATAAATAACTACTGAGGTCAACAAGTGCTGGAACTTTTTCACTTCTCCCGGCCCTCATAATCAGGAAGGAGACCATACTACTTATGATACTGAGAGTCAGAGTGGATATAGATGCCTGCTTTGAATTATTTGGTTGGCTCCTTTTGCGCGCCGATGGCCCGCATCCCTGTCTATGTTGGCATGTGAGTTTGCGAAGGACATTGTTCGATGTCAATCATTATCCCTCTCTTTAAAATTGTATTGTAATATTGATGTTTTATGTACATATTCGCTAGCCAAGACAATTGGTTCTCTGTCTCCAAGCTTTATGCCCCTGAAGAAGCTGAAAAAACGAAACGCGTCGACCTTTTGGAGGATATATGTTGTAGAGAATACGTTGTTACATTGGGGCTGTTGAGCCATGTACTGTACTGAATTTTTATGGCTGTAATAAAGATTTGGAATTTTATGAATTTGAGTTTGCCCTCTACTGTACCGGTAAAGTCCCATAATATATTTTTTTCGGTTTCTCTTCTCAGTAAGGAGACCTACGTTTCTAATATCTCGTTATACAGAGTTCCATGTGGATACATATTCAGTTATATGATGAAGATACATGCCAGTCCAAGGAGCCCCTGTAGAGTGTGCCCCTACCAGGGGCGGACTGACCATTTGGGAACTCGGGCACTGCCCGAAGGCCCGGGGTCAGAAGGGGGCCCCATGAGATGCCCCTGGTATCTTTCATAGTCATTTTTGGGTGTGGTTTGAGTGTGGGCAAGGACACAGGGGCCCCATGATCCCCTATTGCCGGGGGCCCATGAGTTGTCAGTCCACCCCTGGCCCCTACCCTGATCTAAAGGAGCACCAACATATATCAATGCATGCAATTAAATGCAATATCTATATATACACACAGTTAGTGCCCCTTTAAGGCTCCGGGACTCACTATTGCCGTATTTAAACAGACGCAGATGTGCCGATGATTGGATCCACGTTTCCCGTCTGGAATTAAAGGGCTCCATTTATTTTCATTCCACAGAAAAAACCGCTCCATTCAGAACTGGCTGTGAGTTTCCTGTTCTGGAATATTGTGTTCCAGGCTGGATACCCGTCGGGAAAACTGCCAGTCTTCATATACCAGACGTCATTCAGCCCGGGTTCACACTGATGAGGTGTGGAATTTGCAGCGTTTTCAGTACGAATTCCGCACCGCATCAGAATCGCACCCCGTTCACCGCTGCGGGTGTGTATGTAAAGTTAACAACACACCCCAAAAGCGGTCCGCAAAACGTGGTGTGATGTGCAGAATCGGATCGCATAGGTGGGAATGCCCGTGCGATCCGATTCTAGTGTGGACCCAAAAAAGGGTCCTGATTGTTTTTGGTGCGAGTGCGATTCGATTAGAGCCATACAAAATGTATGGCTCCAATCGCACAGCACACAAATCGTATGTGATTTGCATAGGAATGCGGTGCAGTTCCTGAGCCAATCACATGCGATATACCGCACCGCATATATGTGAACCCGGGCTGAAAGTGGATCTAACTTTAGGTATAAATTTTAGGTTAGGAGCATGCAGCTATGGGCAGCATAGTGGTAAATGGTCAGCACTTCCACCTGGCAGTGCTAGGGTCCTTGGTTCAAATCCCAACCATGGCACCACCTGCCTGGAGTTTGCATGTTGTGCCTGTGTGGGTTTCCTCCAGGTACTCCGGTTTCCTCCCACACTCTAAAGACATGCTGGTAGGTGAATTTTCTCCTGTCTAAAATTGGCCCTAGTATTTGTATGTATAAATGTGAGTTAGGGACCTTAGATTGTGCGCCCCTTGAGGGTTAGGGACTGATGTGAATGCGTACAATATATATGTAAAGTGCTGTGTAAATTGATGGCGCTATATAAGTACCTGAAATAAATGCATGCTAACTAATGTGTAAGTATAATCATTATTACCTCTTCCAGAGATCACAGTGTGACCCTTCCCTGCCTTCATCTGCTTTTCTCTCTAGAAGGACGGCACCATCTTTGTTCAGGCACCATCCAGAGTTGAGCTTCTCATCTTGTGATTTGATACAATGTTACAATGTTGCAATTTATTAAGGGGGGGGGGGGGGGGCTCACGGGGACTGAGGAAATGTTTCCTCTTTCAGGCAGTAGATTGATGACATCATCTCAGCCTAGGCAAGGTCACTGGACTGGAGCTCACGGATGGATTTTTAACTGCTTACCTACCATGCTATAGCAGGAATACTGCTACAGGGAAGCAGGGCTGTGCAAAATCACCTATATATAGGTGATTTTGCATTTCCTGAAAGGGGGCACGTGCACCGCCCTACTCGCGCCCACCATTGGCGGCTACAGATGTCGATCACCGGTTCCTGGCCAGAGATTCCCCACCGGCACCCAGCGATTGCTGAGTATCACTGACAGAGGAGAGACCGGTGTGTAAACAACGCAGATCTCTCTCCTGTCAGCGAGGACATTCTGCTGTGTATCTCTCTGCACAGCATGTCTACCTAGTAAATCACACACAGCACACAGTTAACCCTTTGATCGCCCCAGATGTTAACCCCCTCCTCCCCAGTGCTATTAGTACCGTGTCAGTGCTTTCTATTAGCACTGATCACTGTATTGGTGTCACTGGGCATGTCAGTGGCAGTTAGTCAGTCCCTCCCCCCCCCCCCCCCCCAGTGTCAAAATGCCTGCCGCAGTCCCGCCATAAATCGCTGATCGGCGCCATTACTAGTATAAAAAAAAATCCCAGTATCTATACCGCCATTTGTAGACGCTACAACTTTCCCGTAAAACAATTAATTTACACGTATTGGGATTTTATTTTAGCAAAGACACGGAGCAAAATACATTTTGGCCTAAATTTATGAAGAAATTAGATTTTTTAAATTTTTTTACTGGACATGTTTTATAGCAAAAAGTAAAAAATATAGTTTTTTTTTTCTTCAAAATTGTCGGTCTTTTTTTGTTTATGGCGCAAAGAATAAAAAATGCAGAGGTGATCAAATACCACCAAAAGAAAGCTCTATTTGTGGGAAAAAAGGACATAAGTTTATGTACAGCGCTGCATTAACGTGAAATTGTCAGTTAAAGCAACTCAGCTCCGTATTGCAAAAAATGGCCTGGTCAGGAAGGGGGGTGGGGAAATCCTCTGGAGGGCAAGTAGGTTAATAAAGAGCTGGTGCTGTCAGCTTCAGAAAGGGATCAAGGTGTCAGAATGACCGCTGAGCTCTGCAACGCTTCAAAGATACAGCATACTGCCAAAAGTATTGGCCCCGCCCTCTCAATCATGTGATTCAGGTGTTTCAATCCCCTCCATGGACACAGGTGTATACAATCAAGCCCCTAGGCATGCAGACTGCTTCTACAAACATTGGTGAAAGAATGGGTCGCTCTCAGGAGCTCAGTGACTCCAAGCGTGGTCCCGTGATAGGTGGTCACCTGGGCAATAAGTCCATCCGTGACATTTCCTGGCTACTAAATATTCCACGCTCAACTGTTAGTGGGATTATAACAAAGTGGAAGCAACTGGGAACAACAGCCACTCAGCCATCAAGTGGTAGGCCACGTCACATGACAGGGCGGGGTCAGCGCATGCTGAAGCGCACAGTGCGCAGAAGTCACCAACTGTCTGCAGAGTCAATAGCTAAAGACCTCCAAACTTGGTGTGGCCTTCAGATGAGCCCAACAACAGTGCGTAGAGAGCTTCATGGAATGGGTTTCCATGGCCGAGCAGCTGCATCCAAGCCTTCCATCACCAAGTGCAATGCAAAGCGTCGGATGCCGTGGTGTAAAGCACACCGCCACTGGACTCTAGAGCAGTGGAGACGTGTTCTCTGGAGTGACCAATCACGCTTCTCTGTCTGGCAATCCAATGGACATGTCTGGGTTTAGCGGTTGCCAAGAGAACGGTACTTGCCTGACTGCATTGTGCCAAGTGCAAAGTTTGGTGGAGGGTGATTATGGTGTGGGGTTGTTTTTCAGGAGTTGGGCTTGGCCCCCTAGTTCCAGTGAAGGGAACTCTTCAGGCATCAGCATACCAAGACATTTTGGACAATTTCACACTCCCAACTTTGTGGGAAGAGTTTGGGGATGGCCCCTTCCTGTTCCAACATGACTGCCCACCAGTGCACAAAGTAAGGTCCATAAAGACATGGCGGAGCCAGTTTGGGGTGGAGGAACTTGACTGTCCTGCACAGAGTCCTGACCTCAACCCCATAGAACACCTTTGGGATGAATTAGAGGGGAGACTGCGAGCCAGGCCCCCTCCCCCGACATCAGTGCCTGACCTGACAAATGTGCTTCTGGAAGAATGGTCCAACCTTCCCATAGACACCCTCCTAAACCTTGTGGACGGCCCTTCCCAGAAGAGTTGAAGCTGTTATAGCTGCAAAGGGCGGGGCCAACTCAATATATTGAACCCTGCGGACTAAGACTGAGAGGTCATTAAAGGTCATGTGTGTGGAAAGGCCGGCCGACCAATACTTATGGCAATATTCTATATATTATAATTCTCCAATTGATAGCTGAGCCCTGGGTTGCTCCTAAAACAGAGCTGGACACGGCAATGTTTCTAAAGCAGAGCTGGGCCTGGCTGTGGACTTGGCTGTCAAACTGACACCTGAGCCCACAGATGACACCAGAACTCTCCCGGTAACCCGCTAAGCTCAGTTTGGCATCCAGCTCCTGTTCTGTGTGTCTGGAGGCTCTTTTCCGGCTGCAGCTGAAAGTTGTCAGCAATTCCAGGGTTGAGTTGTATTTGCGTTCCTCATGCTCCACCTCTATTGCTCATGCAGTGTAGGTCTGACCAGTGTTTGTAGGAACTCATGCCCTTTGTACAGGAATTGCTCCTTGTAATCTGACTCGCATACAATGATCTCTTCTCCACGTTCCTCCCCCGGCAATCCTTCTGTATTCCACATGTGACAGACTGTATCAATATTTGCTTGTTCCATCTGGTCTGTGTGTTCATTGTCACTGAGAACTCCTCCACACTCTGCATTCCCGAAATCCGGAACACAATGGTTGGCGCTGAGTCCCCAATCCTCCTCGCTCATTCCTCTCACGCCAAATAACTCGGGATCAACGTGAGCCTTGAAACTCCCAGCTCACTGAAACTTTGTCCTTCTCTCCTTGCCATGTGTAAGACCCTGTTCACACCTGAGCGACACTGCGGCAATCGCGTTTTTTGGCGTATTATTTTGTATGGCCTCCCTCCACTTCAAAAATGCGTCAAAGAAGCTCATGCAGGGCTGGGGCAAGGGGTGGGGCGAGAGGGGAGGCTGCCCTGGGCACAATGGTTTACTATAGGGATGAGGGCGCCTCCCTTCTGTTACAAGGCGGTCTTGACAGCAGCAGTGATTTTGACAAGTGAGTGAATACTGGGCATAGGATCCCCTATGCTGGCACATTATCCGCTTCCGCAGAAATACTGCTACAGGGCGGCACGGGTGCACAAAATCATACAGTATATATACTGTACACGTGATTTTGTAGTTCCAGGTAGGGGGTGCGCACTTGGCTGTCAATCATGGGGTCCCGGCTGGTGATCACTGAGCATCTCCAATTGGACAGTTCTGGATAGGGGGCGTGCACCACCATTTATGACCTTGGCTGTCAATCATGGGGTCCTGGCTGGTGATCGCCAAGCATCTCCAATTGGACAGTTCCGGATATGGGGTGTGCGCCGCCATTTATGACCTTTTCTGTCAATCATGGGGTCCTGGCTGGTGATCGCCCAGCATCTCCAACAGGTCAGTTTTGAGTAGGGGGCGCGCGCCGCCATTCATGACCTTGGCTGTCAATCACGGGGGTCCCAGCTGGTGATCATCGAGCATCTCCAACGGGGCGGATCCAGGTAGGGGGCGGATCCAGGTAGGGGGCGCGCTGCCATTCATGACCTTGGCTGTCAATCACGGGGGTCCCAGCTTGTGATCATCGAGCATCTCCAACGGGGCGGATCCAGGTAGGGGGCACGCGCCACCATTCATGAGCTTGGCTGTCAATCACGGGGTCCCAGCTGGTGATCATCGAGCATCTCCAATGGGGCGGATCCAGGTGGGGGGCGCTCGCCGCCATTCATGACCTTGGCTGTCAATCACGGGGTCCCAGCAGGTGATCACTGAGCATCTCCAACGGGGCGGATCCAGGTAGGGGGCGCACGCAACCATTCATGACCTTGGCTGTCAATCACGGGGTTCCAGCTGGTGATCATCGAGCATCTCCAATGGGGCGGATCCAGGTAGGGGGCATGCTCCGCCATTCATGACCTTGGCTGTCAATCACGGGCCCCAGCTGGTGATCACCGAGCATCTCCAATGGGGCGGATCCAGGTGGGGGGCGCGCGCCGCCATTCATGACCTTGGCTGTCAATCACGGGGTCCCAGCAGGTGATCACTGAGCATCTCCAACATGGGAGAGACCTGTGTATAAACAACACAGATCTCTCCCGTCAGCTCCTGCACACTCTGCAGAGCCATACAAAGCAGTGTGCTTACAGTGTAAAGCACAGACACAGCACACAGTTAACCCTTTGATCGCCCCAGATGTTAGTCCCCTTCCTGCCCAGTGCCATTAGTACAGTGTCAGTGCATTTTATTAGCACTGATCACTATATTGATGTCACTGGGTATGTCAGCGACACCAAGTCAGTCCCCCCCCCCAGTGTCAGAATGTCCGCCGCAGTCCCGCTATAAGTCGCTGATCGCTGCCATTACTAGTAAAAATAATTTAAAAAAAAAATCCCAGTATCTATACCGCCATTTGTAAACGCTATAACTTTCACATAAACCAATTAATTTACATGTATTGGGATTTTTTTTTAGCAAAGACGAGCAGAATACATTTTGGCCTAAATGTATGAAGAAATTTGATTTAAAATTTTTTTTTACTGGACATGTTTAATAGAGATGAGCGAATTATTCAAAAATTCGATTCGACTGATTCGTGAAAAAATTTTGATTCGAGTCGAATATATTCGCTGCGAATTTAACTTATAAAAGGGTGTTTCTAGGCTTCAGAGAGCCTTTATATTAGTGCAGAACACTGTACCTTTAATTTAAATGCCCTTGGAGTCTGCTGGGGAAGAGAAATAATACTGTCAGTCAGTATGACATGCAGATGAGTGCCGTCGATCTTAGAATCACCGCACACTTCACTCATTTGGGCAGTCACGGGGCCAAAACCAGAGTGTGGAGCCACAGTGTGGCGGTGGAGGCAGCAGCAATGGGAGGCCATACAGCACCCTATGACAAAAAATGGAAACCACCAGCAGTGTGAGGAGACCTGAAAGTGGCACATGGCAGAGTGTGGCGATGGAGACAGCAGCAATGGGAGGCCGTACAGGGACCCATGAGAGACTGTGGACCTGGCAGCAGCATGAGAAGGCGGTACTGGGGCCCATGGCAGATTACGGGCCTGGCAGCAGCAATGGGAGGCCCGTAATCTGCCAGCACCCTATGACAAAAAATGGAACACACCAGCAGTGTGAGGAGACCTGAAAGTGGCACATGGCAGAGTGTGGCGATGGAGACAGCAGCAATGGGAGGCCGTACAGGGACCCATGACACACTCTGGACCTGGCAGCAGCATGAGGAGGCGGTACAGGGGCCCATGGCAGATTACGGGCCTGGCAGCAGCAATGGGAGGCCCGTAATCTGCCAGCACCCTATGACAAAAAATGGAACACACCAGCAGTGTGTGAGGAGACCTGAAAGTGGCACATGGCAGAGTGTGGCGATGGAGACAGCAGCAATGGGAGGCCGTACAGGGACCCATGAGAGACTCTGGACCTGGCAGCAGCATGAGGAGGCGGTACAGGGGCCCATGGCAGATTAGGGGCCTGGCAGCAGCTATGGGAGGCCCGTAATCTGCCAGCACCCTATGACAAAAAATGGAACACACCAGCAGTGTGAGGAGACCTGAAAGTGGCACATGGCAGAGTGTGGCGATGGAGACAGCAGCAATGGGAGGCCGTACAGGGACCCATGACACACTCTGGACCTGGCAGCAGCATGAGGAGGCGGTACAGGGGCCCATGGCAGATTACGGGCCTGGCAGCAGCAATGGGAGGCCCGTAATCTGCCAGCACCCTATGACAAAAAATGGAACACACCAGCAGTGTGTGAGGAGACCTGAAAGTGGCACATGGCAGAGTGTGGCGATGGAGACAGCAGCAATGGGAGGCCGTACAGGGACCCATGAGAGACTCTGGACCTGGCAGCATGAGATTACTGGGACAGCAGCAGGAGGCGGTACAGGGGCCCATGGCAGATTAGGGGCCTGGCAGCAGCTATGGGAGGCCCGTAATCTGCCAGCACCCTATGACAAAAAATGGAACACACCAGCAGTGTGAGGAGACCTGAAAGTGCACATGGCAGAGTGTGGCGATGGAGACAGCAGCAATGGGAGGCCGTACAGGGACCCATGAGAGACTGTGGACCTGGCAGCAGCATGAGAAGGCGGTACTGGGGGCCCATGGCAGATTACGGGCCTGGCAGCAGCAATGGGAGGCCCGTAATCTGCCAGCACCCTATGACAAAAAATGGAACACACCACCAGCAGTGTGAGGAGACCTGAAAGTGGCACATGTTTGGGGCATGATTCATGGCGGATTTAGTCAGTTGTGTCAGGAACTGTTGGTTGAAATCCAGACTAATCCACACTGATTCATTTTCACAAACGTGAGTCTCTCCACACTTTGGGTGGACAGTCGTGTCCTCCGCGGAGTTACAATATCTCCTGCCGCACTAAACACGCGCTCCGATGCCACGCTACTGGCCGGGCATGACAGCCTTTCAAGGGCAAATTCAGCTAGTTGGGGCCAAAAAGGTCAAGTTTCGTTGCCCAGTAGTCAAGGGGATTGTCTACCTCGGTTGGCAGGGTGCTGTCCAAGTAGGCCTAAGCCTGTTGTTTGAGGTCCTGCTCCAGGTCCACCTGATGCTGCTGCTACTGCGGCTGGTTAGTAGTTTCCTCACTGCGCTGGTGAAGAAAGCTACTCATCATCGACTGCAGACTGAGGCAGCCGCTGCTGGTGGAGCTGCCACTGCTCCTACCACCCCACCCCTCCCCTGCTGCCATGGCAGCAGAACGCGAGCACACAGGGCCCACAGTGTCTGAGGATGGACGTTGGTGCAGAAAGGCAGAGACCAGCTGACTACATAGGTGGTTTTTATAGTACGTTATTTTGGCTCCCTCTCAGCAGGTGTGAAAAAGGCCACCATTTTTGAACGGTAGCGAGGGTCCAACAAGGTGGACAGCCAAAAGTCATCCCTCTGTCTGATGGTTATTATTCGGCTGTCGCTACGCAAGCAAGCATGGAGCATGCTATGGGCCATTTGTGCCAAGGAATGTGAGGGACTCCCTGCCTCCATCTCCACAGCATACTGCCACGGTGCGTCTGGGTCCTCTGTCTCCTCCTCCTCCTCCTCTACCAGATGCTCCTGCTCCTCCACTCCTGTCCGCTGAGTGGAAAAACCACCCATTTCACTCAATAATTCCTGAGCACCAATGTCCTCCTCTACCTCCTCCTCTTCTTCCTGTCCTGCCCCCACAGGGGTCATGTGGCGTTGAGATCTGTGCGCCACGTCTACCGCACCCTGACCAGCCATTGTTAACAGCATTTGTTCCAGGACGTGCAACAGAGGAATGACGTCGTTCATCCCATAGTCCTGCCGACTCACGAATAGCGTGGCCTCCTCAAAGGGCCTGAGCAAGCACAGGCAGGTGTCACGCATGAGCTGCCAATGGCTGACATCTAAGTTACACAGGGAGTACCTTTATCCGCTTGTAACATCAGGAAATCTGTAATGGCCTTTCGCTGTTCGTAAAGGCGGTCTAACATATGTGTAGGTTGAATTCCACCTTGTTGCAACGTCACAGCATGAGGAGTCGGTACGGGGCCCATGGCAGATTAGGGGCCTGGCAGCAGCTATGGGAGGCCCGTAATCTGCCAGCACCCTATGACAAAAAAAATGGAACACACCAGCAGTGTGAGGAGACCTGAAAGTGGCACATGGCAGAGTGTGGCGATGGAGACAGCAGCAATGGGAGGCCGTACAGGGACCCATGAGAGACTCTGGACCTGGCAGCAGCATGAGGAGGCGGTACAGGGGCCCATGGCAGATTAGGGGCCTGGCAGCAGCTATGGGAGGCCCGTAATCTGCCAGCACCCTATGACAAAAAATGGAACACACCAGCAGTGTGAGGAGACCTGAAAGTGGCACATGGCATGAGACACTGTGGACCTGGCAGCAGCATGAGGAGGCAGTACAGGGGCCCATGGCAGATTAGGGGCCTGGCAGCAGCTATGGGAGGCCCGTAATCTGCCAGCACCCTATGACAAACAATGGAACACACCAGCAGTGTGAGGGAGACCTGAAAGTGGCACATGGCATGAGACACTGTGGACCTGGCAGCAGCATGAGGAGGCGGTACAGGGGCCCATGGCAGATTAGGGGCCTGGCAGCAGCTATGGGAGGCCCGTAATCTGCCAGCACCCTATGACAAAAAATGGAACACACCAGCAGTGTGAGGAGACCTGAAAGTGGCACATGGCAGAGTGTGGCGATGGAGACAGCAGCAATGGGAGGTCGTACAGGGACCCATGAGAGACTCTGGACCTGGCAGCAGCATGAGGAGGCGGTATAGGGGCCCATGGCAGATTAGGGGCCTGGCAGCAGCTATGGGAGGCCCGTAATCTGCCAGCACCCTATGACAAAAAATGGAACACACCAGCAGTGTGAGAGGAGACCTGAAAGTGGCACATGGCAGAGTGTGGCGATGGAGACAGCAGCAATGGGAGGCCGTACAGGGACCCATGAGAGACTCTGGACCTGGCAGCAGCATGAGGAGGCGGTATAGGGGCCCATGGCAGATTAGGGGCCTGGCAGCAGCTATAGGAGGCCCGTAATGTGCCAGCACCCTATGACAAAAAATGGAACACACCAGCAGTGTGAGGAGACCTGAAAGTGGCACATGGCATGAGACACTGTGGACCTGGACCCAAGAGCAGCATGAGGAGACGGTACAGGGGCCCATGGCAGATTAGGGGCCTGGCAGCAGCTATGGGAGCCCGTAATCTGCCAGCACCCTATGACAAAAAATGGAACACACCAGCAGTGTGAGGAGACCTGAAAGTGGCACATGGCATGAGACACTGTGGACCTGGCAGCAGCATGAGGAGGCGGTACAGGGGGCCCATGGCAGATTAGGGGCCTGGCAGCAGCTATGGGAGGCCCGTAATCTGCCAGCACCCTATGACAAAATGGAACCCTGAGCTGGGGCAGGCAGAACCGCCCGTATCTTTATCACGGTTTTCCCAGGCCACCAAATGGCGACGCTGCATATGCTGCCACAACAACGCTGTAGTCCCAACATGGGCCCCCTGGCCACGCTTGACTTTCTGGCCACATAGTCGACATACGGCTACGTTTACTTCCTCGGGCGGCTTGACGAAAAATTGCCACACCGCCAAGTAGGAAACTTTACCCCGATACTCCTCACTGGCTGACTGCTGCTTCCTCCATGCACACCGGCACCACTACTGGCCGTGGTGGTAGGCTGCAGTGGAGCTGGTGCTGTACTCCATGGCCGTTTGCCTCCACTGACACTGCTGCGACCCTGCTGCCTCCTGGGCAACCCACCGACTGTTTTGCTCGCTGCCAAGCTGCCACCCCTCTTCTCCTGATGATGCGGAAGCAATAGCCTGATGACGACGAGGCTGCCAAGTGCGATCAGCCTCATCATCATCAATTAGGGTCTCCGCCTCACTACTAGCCCCCTCGGCTGCGTGTGGGTCAGGAGACAGACCTGTCTCTAGACCGGCTACTGAGCCACTCTCCTCGCCACTACTTCTTCGCCTGGCTGCTGAAGAGGCGGATGTCTCCCCCCGTTCCTGACCGCCCTCTGTTAGCTCTTCCTCACTGTACAGTGGGGCTGAGCCCACAGCATGCGATACTTCGCTTGGTGAGGGAACACCAAAGGACAGGGGCAGGTCGAGGACACGTGATTTCAGTGGGCTTGCTCCCGGGCCATGCCAACTAACGGTTGTGTCTGACGTAGCCACCGACCGTTGGCTGTAGGTGTCAGAGGTGACCTGGGAAGAGGAAGACGACCGAGCCAACCAATCGATGACGGCAGGGTTGTCGGTGGAGACACGACCGCTGGATGACACCGGGAGCACTGGCCTCTGGCTGCGACTAGTGCTGCCTCGACCCCTTCCTCTGCTGCCACGTCTGCTCGCTCCTAAAACATTGCCTCCTCTGCCACTCCTATGCATGTTGTCTGACATACTCTTTAATTAAACGATTCTGTGTCCCTGAGTAACAATTCTGTGTCTGTCCCTGAGTAACAATTCTGTGTCCCTGAGTAACAATTCTGTGTCCCTGAGTAACAATTCTGTGTCCCTCAGTAACAATTCTGTGTCCCTCAGTAACAATTCTGTGTCCCTCAGTAACAATTCTGTGTCTGTGCCTGAGTAACAATTCTGTGTCTGTCGCTGAGTAACAATTCTGTGTCCCTCAGTAACAATTCTGTGTCCCTCAGTAACAATTCTGTGTCCCTGAGTAACAATTCTGTGTCCCTGAGTAACAATTCTGTGTCCCTCAGTAACAATTCTGTGTCCCTCAGTAACAATTCTGTGTCTGTCCCTGAGTAACAATTCTGTGTCTGTCCCTGAGTAACAATTCTGTGTCCCTCAGTAACAATTCTGTGTCCCTGAGTAACAATTCTGTGTCCCTAGTAACAATTCTGTGTCCCTGAGTAACAATTCTGTGTCCCTCAGTAACAATTCTGTGTCCCTGAGTAACAATTCTGTGTCCCTCAGTAACAATTCTGTGTCCCTCAGTAACAATTCTGTGTCTGTCCCTGAGTAACAATTCTGTGTCTGTCCCTGAGTAACAATTCTGTGTCCCTCAGTAACAATTCTGTGTCCCTGAGTAACAATTCTGTGTCCCTCAGTAACAATTCTGTGTCCCTCAGTAACAATTCTGTGTCCCTCAGTAACAATTCTGTGTCCCTGAGTAACAATTCTGTGTCCCTCAGTAACAATTCTGTGTCTGTCCCTGAGTAACAATTTTGTGTCTGTCCCTGAGTAACAATTCTGTGTCCCTAAGTAACGTTTCTGTGGCCCTAAGTAACGGTTCTGTGGCCCTCAGTAACAAATCTGTGTCCCTCAGTAACAATTCTGTGTCCCTCAGTAACAATTCTGTGTCTGTCCCTGAGTAACAATTCTGTGTCCCTCAGTAACAATTCTGTGTCCCTCAGTAACAATTCTGTGTCCCTGAGTAACAATTCTCTGTGTCCCTCAGTAACAATTCTGTGTCCCTCAGTAACAATTCTGTGTCCCTGAGTAACAATTCTGTGTCCCTCAGTAACAATTCTGTGTCCCTCAGTAACAATTCTGTGTCTGTCGCTGAGTAACAATTCTGTGTCCCTCAGTAACAATTCTGTGTCCCTCAGTAACAATTCTGTGTCCCTCAGTAACAATTCTGTGTTCCTCAGTAACAATTCTGTGTCCCTTAGTAACAAATTCTGTGTCTGTCCCTGAGTAACAATTCTGTGTCTGTCCCTGAGTAACAATTCTGTGTCCCTGAGTAACAATTCTGTGTCTGCCCTGAGTAACAATTTTGTGTCCCTCAGTAACAATTCTGTATCCCTCAGTAACAATTCTGTGTCTGTCCCTGAGTAACAATTCTGTGTCCCTAAGTAACAATTCTGTGTCTGTCCCTGAGTAACAATTCTGTGTCCCTAAGTAACGTTTCTGTGGCCCTAAGTAACGGTTCTGTGGCCCTCAGTAACAAATCTGTGTCCCTCAGTAACAATTCTGTGTCTGTCCCTAAGTAACAATTCTGTGGCCCTAAGTAATGTTTCTGTGGCCCTAAGTAACAGTTCTGTGGCCCTCAGTAACAATTCTGTGTCCCTCAGTAACAATTCTGTGTCTGTCCCTAAGTAACAATTCTGTGGCCCTAAGTAACGATTCTGTGTGGCCCTAAGTAACGATTCTGTGGCCCTAAGTAACGTTTCTGTGGCCCTAAGTAAAGTTTCTGTGGCCCTAAGTAACGTTTCTGTGTCCCTAAGTAACGTTTCTGTGGCCCTAAGTAACGTTTCTGTGTCCCTAAGTAACGTTTCTGTGGCCCTAAGTAACGTTTCTGTGTCCCTAAGTAACGTTTCTGTGTCCCTAACTCTCTCCCTGCATACAGCCAGGTCTGCCTCTGTTGAATGACTGGAGGCAAATGGAGAATTCTAAAATGGCCGCCATTTATAGCTCGACCATTACACAGTGCTGGCTGGCTGGCTGCTGATTGGCTAATGCGATCACATGTCATGAATGAATGCATTATGGGTCAGCGCGCCTTGTCTGCGCGCCTTCCCAGACATCCCCGCTCCGTCGCCGCACATGTCGCCGCCATTTTAGGAAAAATTTCGATTCGCGCATCCGAAGTCTGCTTATTTTCGGATTCGGCGCAAATCTAAATTTTTCTAATATTCGAAGCGAATTCCACTTCGCCTACTTCGATTCGCTCATCTCTAATGTTTAATAGCAAAAAGTCAAAAATATATTTTTTTCTCAAAATTGGTGGTCTTTTTTTTGTTTATAGTGCAAAAAAATTAAAAACGCACAGGTGATCCATTACCACTGAAAGAAAGTTCTATTTGTAGGAAAAAAGGACAGAAATTTCATTTGGGTGCAGCGTTGCATGACCGCGCAATGGTCAGTTAAAGTAACGCAGCGCCGTATCGCAAAAAATGGCCTGGTCAGGGAATAAATCCTCTGGAGGGTGAGAGGTTATGAGCTTAGGTTGTGGGGGGAGCAGTTTGGCATCTTTGCCCTGGGTGCTGGATGACCTTGTCCCGGCACTGAGCTCATGCGCAAAATTTTGGCGCTGAGCCAGGCACATTTGGCGTGGTGTGTTTTGCCGTGATTTTCATGCGTTTTGTCGCACAACAGTTTGGTTTGCTCGTTTTGCTGCGATTTTGGAAAATCATGTGATTCATTTCCAGTCCGCTCAGGCTCTATTCACACCATTCAGGTGCAATGGCGCTCACGTGCGTTTCCACGTCTCTCATGTAGAGCAGCCCATTTATTTTAAAGCGCTGCCCTACGCACAAGAAACGCACAAGTCCCTGGCACTTGTTTTTAAATTGCACTGCAACGACCCTCGTGGTGCTTACGCACCATGCATTTTGGTGCGTGCAAGAACGCGTACATTAGCAGGCGCATTGGTTGCCAGTAAGAATTCATGGCAATGCTGCACATCTGCTGAAGGACATTTCTGTGCGTGTCGGGAAAGTGTGCAATTATACATGTGTTCCCCACATGCACACAGACCCACTGCATGACATGCTCAGGGGCAATGCCCAATATGGGCTTGGGGTCCCATTCCCACTATAGGTCGCTTTAATGCGTTTTTGTGCATATAGGCACACTGTGTGAAAACAGACCTTGCGAGCAAAGCGCAATGTCCCCTCATTAGTCTGACCCCCTGCACAGGAGTGTCTCGGGAGACGGGATCCTTAGCATTCCCACGATTTTTCCGAAAGGCTCGTGACTTCCTCTGGGTCAGATGAGGTTGCAGGGTTCTGTTTATGGAGGTTTTCTATTTTTGGTTGAACTCCGCGGACTTTTGTCTTTTTACAGACTTACTAAGGACTCTGGGCGATGCAAGAGCGTCACATTTTCATGCTTTTTTTTTTTTTGGACACTTGTGGCGGAACATGTAGGCAAGCCTATTCCCATGCCATAACTTGACTATCTAATTTTGTGCAGGCGCCCTTTTGCCAAAACAGCCCTGACCCGTCGAGACATGGACTCCACCACACCTCTGAAGGTATGCTGTGGTATCTGGCA